AAAAAAAAAAAAAAAAAAAAAAAATTTCAGGAGTTCTTAATATATGAAGACTCTGAAAAAGTATTCTTATAAATGGGCAGTTTACAACCTAAATTCAATTAGATTAGTATTCATTTTTCGTTTTAGATTTGTTATAGTATTTTAGGCAAAGACACAAAATAACTATGTTTTTTAACAAAGGAGTAAGATTTGGAGAAACAGGTCACTATTACTTCTGGAAAAAGCAAAACTTGCATGTGAATATCGATTATCTTAAGGCCACCTGTTAAGCTAAAAGTCTATGATTAGTCTGTCATTAGTTGTAATCACAAAGTCTGGTTTTACACCTAGGATATACAAGAAGCATCAGATTAAAAGCATCTAACATCATACTATATAAAGATAAGCATAGCAAAAGAAATGCATGATACAGTTAAATAGGCTCCAAGGGGTTTAAACACACTCACAAAGTCCAATGCATGCACACACTGTGCTTCAACCAATAACTGATGGGTAACCACTAGTCGTGACTTACTCGCACATTCCCCACTACCTACATTCATCTTACCTCCTGAATATCTCCACTATCTCATCACTTTTTGTGGCCTTTGCAAGGTTAATCTTCATGGCCTTTCCTTCCCCAAAATATGATACTGCAAGTGGCCCCGTATTTTACTACCTCCACAATTTAGCTCTAAGTTTGATTTTTACCTATTAGACATTAATTTTGCCCACAATCTCCTGTACTCACGTTTCTCTGATCAACCAGCCTCTTTCTTTTTGTCAACTTGTCCTTATTACAATATCTACTTTCTTTCAAGGTAGAATATGTATCCCTTCCCCGACATTTGTAATTCTGGCTCATAGTCAACGCTCCCTTCCTCTCCCAGGTATCGTCCTCATAGCCCTAGGTCTCACTCCCAGTCCTTATCTTCCTAAGTAAGGCCTCCTCCCTTCCAGAGTTTGTCAACATTAGTTTGGCCAAGCAGAGATTCCACCCTCAAGGCAAAGCCTTTCGGCCCTCTTTATTTTCACAAAACTACAAGCCTCCCACCACCCTTGGCTTTCTCTCCTCCACCCTTAAATCCATCCGCACCCAGCCCTGCCTGTTCTCCCCCTACCCTCAGTATCTGTCTTCCCACTATCCCATGCTCCCCTTCCCTACTCCTCAATGCACCTCTTCTTGGGGGCCTTACCTACGGTAACCCTGACACCGGGAAGGCCCTACCAGCGGCCTCACGGCGTCTCTCCAACTGGGCTTCCTCCGCTCTTCAGTAACTGTCCCCACGCCCCTTTCCCTCCAGGGCCCCGCGCGCTGCCCGGTGCCCACTCCTCGATTAAGCTCCCGCTGTCACTTGGCCTCTCATCCACAAGATGGCGGAGCTGCTGCCCCCACCCCCGGGTTCGCTCAGCAACCCCCAGCCTCCTTCCAGGAGCTCCAATCCCGTTCCTCCGGTCGCCCTCGCCGCGAGCCTTAGCCCAAGGTCCCGGTTCCCAGTCCCTCAGTGGGCGGCCCAGGCCTGAGCTCAGAGACGCCACCAATGCCACCGCCTCCGCCATTCCCCGGCCTGCATCTTCTCCTCACCATAAACTTGAGTGCTTTCTCCTGCAGCACCGCCTCAGCCGGGTCCATAATCGCCGAGGCCACTAGGTCTGCTCTCGGCCGGGGCCGCCCCTTTCGTGCCAGGCCGCAGCCAACGCAGAGCCGGGATCCCGCCTCCTCTTCCTTCCCCCCGCCCTCTCTTACCTCTAAGGCACAGGCTGGGAGGCCAAGGATAACCAACTGTTCCGTGCGCATGCGTGAGCCCACAGGCTCTTGGGATTTGTAGTTCTGGACCTTCTCACAGCAAAAACCGAGGCCAGGCTGCGAACCGCAACTCCCGCAGTTCACTGCGACAGCATTGCAGCTGCCGAGGAGCCAAATCTACACAACTGGCCGTCAAGTAGAGAAATCTGCTGAAGGGAATTGTAGTTCACCTAGTCTACGGATGAGAAACGGGAGGGGCACGACTGTCTCCGTGGTTACCGAGAGACGCCAGTGGCGGTTTGCCTGGCATTTGATATCAAGATGGCGACCAGTACCTGTAGCCCAACTACTGGGGAAAACCGTGAAAGAAATCAACAGGGGGTCTTAGGGCCTCCCTAACTGTAGTTTTAAAAAGCTGGACATCGGGGCTTGGCGCCTGTGCTCAAGTGGCTAAGGCGCCAGCCATATACACCTAAGGTGGCGGGTTGGAATCCTGCCCGGGCCTGCCAAAACAACAATGCCGGCTGCAACCCAAAAATAGCCGGGCGTTGTGGCGGGC